CTGGAGCAAGTCCCTCCTCCCCAGCCTACCTCATTTAATCGGTTACACATTGTGTTTAACCGGTTAGCTAATTCAATGAGATTTTACATCCCTGTTCTCTACTGCCCTGGTCTCGCCTCAGGAGCAGAGCGGAAAGGGGAGCAGACCGTGGCACTGCAGGAGAGGAGGACCCACGGCAGGACTCCTCACTGGCGGTAGGGGCAGTGTCACTCCCTGTCACGGCCAGCCCAGGGAACAGTGACAGCCATCAGCCAGGGCCATCCTGCGGGGCCCTCTCCCCAGGGCTGGGAGCTGGAGGAGTCAAGCAGCCAGGGATTGCATAGAACTAGGCCTCCTGCCAATGCAGGGGAGAGACCAATCTGGGCGCAGACTAATCAGAGCTCTTTCTGAGCTGCAGCCTCTGCTTGACAAACACACTCGACATTTCCTTGTATTTGAAACTCTACCCCAGAGGGCTGAGGCTCAAATAAAGAGGCATAATCATGGAATACCAGGCTGGATAGTAACCCTAAGAGGAAACAGCCCAGTTGTTCAGGGTAGCTCCCCTTCCTGAAACAGGTAGCTCCTCTCTCTGTTCTCCCTGCAAAACCAATCCAGGGAAGGGGCCGCGGGGACTTCCCTGAAGTTCCCCCAACCTGGGAAAAAGGGGCAGGGGCTAAACCACCCCAGAAGTGCAGGAGGAGTGTAGCCAAACTGTATATTTTAGTATTGGTTATAAGAACATAAGTGTGATGCATAAAGACTTGCTTATAAGTTCCGCCTGCTTCTATTTCTCCCTCTCTCTCCTGATTAATGTTTATTGGAAGGCTGTACTGTCTGTTAGCATAACTAATGGAGTTGTGCCTCAGGGCTGAATTGCAAACTAAGTTGTGTCTTCCAGTAACTATGTATGTCTGCACACTGGTTGGTGGGAGTGGAGAATGTGTGTGAAATTTATCAGGAAGGTCCAGACTTGAAGATGAAGAGAGAACACCCTGCATGCCTGAGGCAGGAGGAGGGCTGAAGAAATGAGCAGAAGAATTGAGCCCTGGAGACAGGCAGCCACTCCCGAAGGTGAGAGACAAACAAGAGCTAAGAAAGCCTGACCACAGGCATCAAAGGATAACTGCGGGAAACACAGATTAACACCATTTAAGGATGGATGATTGCACCATGGCACTGCAATACCCATAGACCCAAATGGGTACTTACATGTATAAGACAGGGAGCTGTGGTCAGTAAAACTCTGGGTTCAGTCCTCAGAGGAACCCTGAGCTCGTCTCTCAGCCAGCAAGACTGATTTGGGACACGACCGACTGGTAACTGCATCATCTGCAAGACCTGTGTGTGCATCCACGCAGGTTTGTCTTTCTGAAGCAGATGCTAACTGCTTTTCTACTGTATTCACAATAAATGTGGCATGTTGCCTTTTCCCTGGAAAAATATCCTGTGTGCCTCTTAGAAGCACAACAGAAATAGAGAGGTGCAGGAGCAGTAGGAGAAGTGGGCAGGATGAATGTGGGGGTAGGAGGCAGAATTAAGTGCTGGGCAGGGGAATAAGCAGGTATAAGAGAGATTCTGCACTGGGGGAGCCCCACCGTCTTACCTCAATATCTTTCGGAGAGTTGGCAACACTTGACAGACAGGGCATGGACCGGGG